TAATAATCAATGAATTTAGAATTATTAATCAATTATTTAATGTTTTTTGCAGGGATCAAGAACTGTCACAACTACAGTTCTAGAATGCAAGGCATGGAAGGAAAACAGAATGACAACTGACAAAAGAGCCTTACTGGACCTAGTAAAAGAAACAAAGGCTGCAAAACTCAACCACAAGGAAGGGAGAATTCTTATTTTATCCAGGTAGGGTAATATTCAATCTTTGGCAAAAAATACAGCATTAATAAGCATAAGGCATTAAGATCATGTGTTTTTATGAAATAAAAAGATAAAGCTTATTTATCTTTAAAATAAAATAAAAATAACATTTTATAGTAAATTATGCTTATAGCGAAGTGCCAGTGACGAAAAAGTTTACTTTATAAGACGTATTATAACCTTTGAATCATTTCGATTCAAGCGTACTTTCATTCTAAGAATCTTCACTGTAAGCTTATTTACTGTAGATCATTAACATTGCATTTATACCACACTATAAATAATGCTAATGGTTGACAATAACGTGATATTTTTGATGTTGTTCCACTTTGATAGTGATGGAGCTACACGTTGTGGAGCATTCTGTGTAGTTTATAACGCTTTAGAACAACTCTCAATGGACCAGGAAGTGGACATCTTCACCATCACACGTCAACTTCAGATCCGTAGACCTGAGTTTGTATCTTCCTTGGTATGTATAATTAACCATTCCTGTATGCAAAATTATTAAAGACCATTGGTTAATATTTATCAATACTTATCAGAATTGACCAACAAAATGAATAATCATTCTGCTTTTTAATCAAATGTTATATGTACCCGGGAACATTTCAATTCATAAAGCCATGTTTAAGCTTCAGGTCAGTAAAAAATTGAAAAAAAAAATGGTCTCATTTTCTACAGTATGTTTATTACAGCATCATAAAGCAGAAGACAATTAAATATGTAAAATATACGAACATTCTAAACTGAATTTGAAAAAGGCAATTGTAAATATAATGAATTCAAACCCTTAGGTCTCGTAAACATTGTGTATATCCTGACATAATACCCTCTTCTATACTTATTCTGAGGATATAATTTATGACATTTTACACGTTTGACCTTGACTACCGATTGAATATCATTCCAATGCTCTTTGTTGGGTTTCACTTTCTCGATTAATTGATGATGCATTTCATAGGTGATATAAAAATACATAAATGTTATAGATGATTATGTATTTCGTCTAAAGCTTTATTAAATAAAGAGACAAACGACAGATGTAGCGTTGTACATGTATGATATTCTGTTTGTTTCAGGATGAATACCAGCTTTGTCATGAAGTAGTGGCAGAATTCATACAAAATGATAGTGTGTATGCAAACTGCTAAACTAACCAAAATACAAGATCTGCTCAATAACAGATTTTTTTTTCAAAGTAAATGTACCATTTCTTACATTTGTGCTTGTTTCATACATCTTCCCAAAGGAACAAAGGAAATACCAAAACCCCCTGAATGCAATAATTTTACAGTGAAGACAATCAGAACGTTTTATGATGATTAGGAAAACTTGAGTGTGTTAATTGTCTTGCTTCGTATTTGCTTTGTTGTTCAATTTGCATTTTATGTTGATTTCTTTTTTATTTCTTTTTTTCCTTTTTTGGGTTTTAAATGTGATTGTTTTTGTAGCAAATCGAACAAATTTGATTGTTCATTCATTTTTCTTTAATTATTAAAAAAAGATTTACTTTCATGAATTAAATGTCATGTATTGAAAGAGCAAAAAAAAAAAAAAAAAAAAAAAAAAAAAAACGACAAGAACAATACACACATATGTATAATGCACCTGCATATTTTGAATTTCTTTACTATTCCAAAATAAAATTTAAAAGTAAATGCAATAAATCTTCCATTGTTTTTCTTCAGACATTAATGAAAGGGTACCATGCGTTAAATGCAGTTGGAAATTTGATAGATGTATGACTTTACTTTTTTCTATACATCTGGCTAGATGCATCTATGCATTTGAGAAACATGCAAAAATAATTTCTCGCAGCAAGAAAGGCTTTTTTCATCAGACTAAAAATGCTTAAATGTCCTATACGTTGATTTTAACTAGTTTTCATATGATAACTGTATAAAGATAAGCTGTGAATCTTTAATACTCTGATTCGAATATGTCTTAAAATAATACTTGATTTAGGTTTTCAACCCACGGTACAGCTCTTCTCGGGGTATTAAAATGAATCATTTGCTTAGGGCATATCAAATAAAATGAAAATCAAGTATAGAAGCACAGTCTTTTTAGGAAAATTTAGTTTTGCCCCCCCCCCCACCACCACCACCAATAAAATCTCGTATTGCATAACAAGAGCGATAAATCTTGTCTATTAATATCTTCATATTTTCACATTAGTGTCGGCGGATGTTATTTTGATATATTTTCCGTTGTGTTTAATAAATTAGAATTTTAGGATCTTAAGTGTGTACCTTTTAAATATGCATACAAATTAAATAAATGATTGAGAAGGTGTTGCTTTATATATAAAGGTGATCAAATTTACATGTAATAGACCACACAAACGTTGGAAAAATACAAAAAGAAACTTTTCTTTTAAACTTTTATCATTGTTTTATGCATACAATCCACATTGTAATTCATTCCATGATCTGCAACATAATCAATTATATTTATATCTTTTAAAAGAAAATGTGGATATAGTTGGGTAGTGCGCTTGAAATGTTAGCGAAAAAAGATATTAAGTTAGCTAAAAAGCGCCAATCATTTCTTTAGTTACCCATTTTTAAAGAGTACATTGTATCAAACTGTACAGCTATGCACCGATCTCCTTCGAAAGATTTAATTGTTCACATTACAAGAACTTTGTCTTGGAAGTTCAAAAGAGACAGACAAACAAACATATGTGCTGAATAATATAGCAATCCACATTTTAATTTCAGTACTCATAGTTTTCCTTCAGAGATATAAATTTTCAATGTTTATTTTCGTCTTAGAAAATAATGAGGTTTTCATTAGATTTTTTTCTTTCAATTAGTATTCTTTTTTCATAAACAATTGCGAAAAATAATCAAAAAGTATAACGATGTTTGCCTGTACTCCAATTCTGTTACTGATATTAGAATGATTGTGCAGAAGTTAAAAAAGCAATTCATGAAAATTATGTTGTAGGGGTTGTCAACGAATAATGTTTATTGAATTCTCAACTACGGTAAAGCGCAAAGTGCCAAACATTTAAAATATGAGTAGTGTCTCATCAAAGTTTATATTTAAACTATTTATTATGTTTCCTACACTGTGTGCACTCCATACTTAAAGAGAAATCACTTATTAAATAATTGATAACACTTCACTAGAAGAAAAACACAGTAATACAGGGAACAGTAAGTCTTAACTCAAGTTTGTATATTTTTAACAAATCAACAACATTAACAGTCGAATTGAATGCATTTTTGTTCTCACATGTATATATTTCTTATACCATCATAAAGTCGTGAGGAAAGCTAAAAAAACCATTAGGCTGATTGAGAGGAAAAAACTCTACTTGAGACTATGTATTTAATTTTCAGATTATGTGTTTCGATTGGGTTCGCAGGTAATAGCTTTATTCTAAAGGAGACGTGCGGGCATTGCTTGGAACATTGATCAGCTATTGAATTTAGCTTGCTAATAAAAAAAGAAGAAGTTTGAATAACTTCCTTGTAGGTTTCAATTCCAAAGAGTACGTTCATTTCAACGACTGGTACTGATTTCGCACAATTTGATAAATAATTTTCCGTAACATACATATAATGCTAAATTATTAAAAGACATGTATTCATTTCTTTTTTATTTCTTTAAACAGAATTATATACGTAAATCCGAACGTATACGTATATACGAAAATGTCAAGTAAGATAAAACTATAGTTAAGTGCTATCCACAGATATAGACGTTAAATAAAACAAAATTAAAATATAAAAGAGAAAACATTAACATTTTGTTCCATGAAAGTCGCAAAAATTCGCGATTCATTTGTAGATCTAAAAGTGTAAACCGTGAATAATAAAATGATTATAACACTCTTAGAAAAAAAGTAGGCTTTTCTAAAAAGTTATTTTTATTTTTTATTTACACATCTAAGTATAGAAATTATATCTCTGAGGGTAAAACATACAATAACATAGACTAACGACGAAATCTGATTAATTTATGACATGGCATTGTCATTAAACATTTCAGACGTTTTTGGTGAAATCGTGTTTCTCCAAACTCGTCTAAGGAAGAAAACACACAAAGAAACTCCCAATTCCCAAGTTTTCAAATTCTCGTCGCCAAATTTATATAATAACCACTAAAAATAAATTCTGTAAACTGTATACACACCTTTTAAAAAAATTAAATCAGTAATGTACTAACCCGATTGAACACTGTGGGCCACTGGCCTGTTTAATTTGAACACTTTAATTCCACCAGCAGAATTTTAACATCTTATTTTGCACTGTTTTTTTTTCTCGGAGAAATATTTTTTTACCTTAACTTTTCTGTGTTGTGTACACACCATAGAGTGATACTTCTGATACGCATGGACTTTCATATCAAGTGCTAATTGTAGAACAACAGCGAGTCTCTTTAATTAAAGAGAAGTTGGTCCGTAGGTCGCAGGATCGAATCCCAAAGCCGGACGTGGAGACCGGTCCTTCGGATGAAACCATGTAAACCGAGGTCCTGTGTCGCAGGAGATGCTGGAGGTGCTGGCACGAAAAAGACCCTCAATTTGGGGACCCTTCACAGTCAAGTGATTGCTTCTTAATACGGGTGAAAAATTCTCGAAAGGGATGTTAAACAAACAAACAAAATTAATTCTATTTTTTAGACATTGAAATGTGGTTGGGACTATTTCATGGCTAACATTTTCCTTTTGAACTGACAAAAATGCATTTAAAGAATTGTACTTGTTACAGCGAGTTTACATTGAAACTAAAGATTCTTCACAAATTCTTGTTGTCATAAAATTGATTTTACCAAAAATATAGGTATCAATGCATTTGGGAAAAGAAATATTGCATTTTATTTATACTTATACAGTATTAGTTCTAATACATAGTGTAAAAAGCTTATGCTATAATTGCAAGACCTCAAACATCATTTCTTATTTCTTATCATGCTAATTACAATTGGTATCTGAGGTTAGATTAAAGGAAATACAATTTTCTAAAAAATTGTATTCATTTTTGTACTTTTATGGGATACACATGTCAATTTTTTACAAGACGTTTCTTTTTCTATTTCTTTTTCTTTTGAGGACCTTAAATTATGATGCAAAAAAATGAAAATTGTTGCACGAAAAGATTTCAGGATTCAAATAGGGAATTTTAATTAAATGATAAATTTAAGATTTATTGTTCCCGACTGAGGAGAGGATAAGCTTCAACTTAGGATTAAAACAAATTCTTTATTGGTTCGGAGTCGCCCGCCTGGCACAGTGGTTAGAGCGTTTGCTCTAGAGTCGCGGAGTAGTGAGTTGATTCTTACGTCGCGGGTTCGAATCCTACTGCGGGACTTAGAGACCGGTCCTTTGGATGAGACTGTATATACGTGTCGCAGTAGGTGCTGAAATGAAACGACCCCTCATTGTCCAGTGTCTCAGTATAGGTTTAAAACTTGCAGCTCTCCAACGGCAAGTGGTGGAGTCTCAATATGAGTGAACAATTCTCAAAAGGCACGTTAAACAAACAAACAAAAAAATCATTGCTTCGGTTTATTAGATTCTAATTTAGACGTGCAAACCTTGTGTGAAACACTGATCAAACAATTATATTTTGCTTGCTGTTAATTTATTTTCATGACTTCCTGGTAGATTTCTTTTGTTTATAGTGCCAAGTATTTAAACTTCAAAACATTTAGCGCATATATAAGAACATTTTTTTTTCGAATACGTACTCGTATATGTAAATAAAAACCATGAAAAGATGTTTGCTAAATTCATCCTTTTCATTAAATCCTAACATACATTATCATCATTTAAAAAAAAAAAAAAAAAAAAAAAAAAAAAAAAAACTTTTTTCTGTTTTGTTTTGTTTTTTTTTAAAACTTGCATTGTGTAATAAATAGCTAGATGGGAAAACTTCGTAAAATGCACAAGTACGCTTGCACTTAACAGCATAATTATTAGCTCAAAATTGAGAAGAAAAAAAAATGTATGCTACTATAAAAATATCAATGTTGAATGTTCGTGAGATAATTATTGCCTATTATTTATATAACCAATGAATTAAATACTGGTATCAGCAATTATTTTTATTATCTGCAGAATCGTGTTCTTTAATTTTTATTTTACATCTTGGTATTTATATAAAAAAGGTACCCGTAAACGTAGCTGAAAATTATCTATACCCAATCTGTACATTACGCATAAAACAGTTAAAAAAAGCCTTTCTTATATACTCAATATCAATGAAACCTTTAACGTGTTTGTAATTAAAATGACAAATCTTCGGAAAGATCTTTTCTGTCTTGAAACTCGTTGTTTTGTACTACTGAACTGGAACATTATGTAAAACATATATAA